ACTACAAAAGGTAGAGACAAGAGGTTCCCTGAGGCTTCCTGGCTGCCAACCTTCCTCCAGGTTCCATGAGACACCATCTCAAAAACATAAGCTGGAGAGTGCTAGAACAGGACACCTTGACATTCTCTGCTGGTCTGTGCATGCACAGGGATGTACACATCTCAACACACATCTCTCTTCCTATAGCTGTGTCTCTGTCTTTCTGTCTCTGTTTCCTGCTCTCTCACACAAAACACACACACAACTAGGCACTTTATACAAGATATATGCTTTAAATTGGGAAAAAAGTTAGTTCAAATCATGTAAAGTATGTAACATTCTAATACTTGAAAATGCACAACTTAACTGGAACAGATGGCTATTTTCATATGAATGTAGTCTTCAAAGCAAAAACTGGTATGAGCAAAAAACAAAGCTATTTAATAATAATAAAATTATCAGTATGATGCACAGTCTACATTAGGTAGATGCACTCAAATGTAGTTTTACACTATATGTGGTTGAATAGAACTGCCCCACATTTGGGCACAGAAATTGACAAATTCCTAAGTACCATATAAGAAGTCAGTTCTCCTTACTCATGAGCAAAAAACAAAGCTATTTAATAATAATAAAATTATCAGTATGATGCACCGTCTACATTAGGTAGATGCACTCAAATGTAGTTTTACAGTATATGTGGTTAAATAGAACTATCCCCACATTTGGGCACAGAAATTGACAAATTCCTAAGGACCATATAAGAAGTCAGTTCTCCTTACTCACTAAGTGATAGAACAAATAGAAAATAAGAATACAGTAGAATTTTGGGTGTGGTGGCCTGCACCTTGAATCCCAGCACTCGAGAGGGTGGTCTCTGTGAGATCTAGTGCAGCCTGATATACACACTAAGTTTCAAGCCACCTATGGCTACAGGGAAACTCTATCTCAACAAAAATGTAATTCAGTAGAGACAAGCAATTGTATTCTTCTTTTACAGGCAAAACATATTTTAATAATATATTGCAAATAACAAAACCCACCAGAAGGTTAAGTTAAAATGATTTAAGCAATGCCAAATATGTTCCCTGAACAAAAAAAATCAAATGAGAAAATAATAGCAAAAATATTTCTGGAAACCACTCAAGTGTTGGGAAGTTAAGTGACACACATCAAGATAACTCTGTGAAAAAGAGGTAGTAAAAACTGAGGCCAAAAATTATTACAGAATGAAAAAATAAGATACCAGTGTTTGTGGGACATAACTACATTAATGCCTGACTGAAAATTTTAATCACTGAATGAATGCTTCCAACAGGTTCTCAAGACAATGACCTTGTTCCATTTTAAGACACAAAAAATGAACTTAAACACCCAATAAGTAAAAGAAAGGAGCCAATAAGCAGCAGATGTCGTCTTAGTGTATCCCCTCAAAGGTCACATTCTGAAATCTATTCGTGGTAGTGGTGGTATTAGGAGAAAAGGCTCTCAGGAGCCCATTGGATGCTGGGGGCAGAGCCACCGTAAGGGGCTTAGTGCTCTTTATCAGTGTGACTCTAGACACCTGCCTCACTCCTCATGCCTTGTGAAGATACAAGAGAAAGGTGTGAGCTACGAATGAAGAAGTTGAATCTCAGTTACAATCACGTCTACCAGTGCTTGGAAACTGGACTACCCAGCATCCAGCACATGTGGAGATAAATTTACATAATTCATTGGCTACTTAATCTTTAGCATTTTGATTTTGCATGTAAGACTACTTTAACAACTTAACGGGAATACCATCCAAAAATTAAAGTACAGTGGGCTTGATTACAGCTCTTTCCTGAGAGCAGTTCCCAGTCTATGCATATAACGCTTATTAGTGACATTAACAACATGGTCCCGTATATGGCCTAAGAAATGTGTGAACATATTACTATAATATACATAAAGACCTTATGCAGTAGTCCTACCTTTGACTTCTGTCCTAAGCTGGTCAGTATTTGACATAACAGTGTCATAACTGGGCACCACACAGTCTTCTGAGATTTCTTCCGATGATGAACTAAGTTTGTTAAGATCAAGCATACAATTTGCTTGTGCTTTGATCTATAAAATGAATAATACCAACTTCAGATACCCTCACATGATTTCTGTCATCACTTAATGTACAGAAGGAAGGAATGCCCATCTCATACAAAAAGAGAAAGGTACATTTCACAGACCTCATTTTGATAAATACCTTTCCCTTTGGCTAATGTTACTTAATCTGTTGTTCAAAGGAAATATCTTCATCTAACAAAAGAGCTTAATTTTTATTTTTATCTTCAGAAGATATTTCTAAGTCACTTTATGATGCATTGTATTGACTTTTAGAGTGCATTTCAATAAATATGAGTTGATTTTCACATACCTCACACTTTTCACTGGAAGTTTTCTTCGAAGGCCTAAAAATATAAAATCCTATCAGACAAATATTAAATATTAAATACATTAATTTATTTCTAGTATCTATAAAAATTCCATTTCAATAAAGTCATCTGTAGGAAAATTAACCTATAAAGTAGGAAGAGTAATGCTAAGGTACAAAGTATACCACTACTGCAATCATAAAAGTAAGAGATTAGGGCTGGAGAGATGGACAGATGGTTTAGTTGACTAAGAGCACATAATGCTCTTGCAAAGAACCGAAGTTCTCTCCCCAACACTCACAATGGTGGCTCCTAACTACTTATGTCTCCAGTTCCAGGGGATCAGATGCCTCTGACTTCCATACATGCCTGCACATACCCACACACAAGCACATGCACATACACATAGTAAATACTACTTCTCCACAACTCTCATGTATATCCTCATGCTTCTTCTGGACAGAGTACCTTTCCTTTATACTGTCTCTGGGGGCCCAAAAGAAGGACCAATCACGAATCAGATTGCTTGGAGACTGGTGGCCACAGTGCCCATGTGTGAGAAACAGCAGCATAAGGTGGTCATGGAAAGGAAGAAAGCTGAGTCTGCTTCCTTCAGGGGACCACTGCCAAGCCCGACAATCTT